CTGAGCTTAAAACAGTGTTGAGATGAATTAAAGTCACGATACCAGTGATACATCAGTGAGACTTCATAGAAAGAGCAGTACAAGCTCAGAGCCAAAGGGAAGCAGCTGGCTGCTGTAAGCATCCGTTCTTGTAAATTGTTTATGAAAATACTTCTATCTAATATTTGGCAAGTTGACTATTTCTGAATTTTCCCCATCTAACAAGGGGTATGAGTAGTGTAGTCTCTGTAAAAGAACAGCAAATGCATCTTTGAGACTATAGCAGAAATATCACTAGAGGAGGTCATAAAGTTCCAAGCTTGAGTCCCCACCATCATAGGCAGAAAGCAAACCAAGATGCCCAGCAAGAGTTCACTCTGAACACAGAGCCAGAAGTCGGAGTTCCCCAACAGGAAATGCATCAGTGCAAGAGTGGAGACCATTTCAGGAGCTGTCCTTTCCAGGGGAGAATGCCTAAAGTAAAGGAGTGTTCACCAAGGTCCTTAGCCAGAGTCTCTCTGAAAAGAAAACCACCCTACTATCAATCTACAGACGGCAGGGGTGTGATCAAATGTTCCTCTGCTGTTAGGCAAACACGTGTATGCACCTAACTCTGGTCTGCCCTCCAGGCACTGAGCACCAGTGAACTTGGAGATGACCTCTGAGAGGAGCTTAGAGTGCTTAAGTGTGAATTGAGGCTCTGTTTCCTCTGATGCCTGCCAGCCAAGTGACCCCCTTCTGCTTGCAAATGCATGCTGCAGGACAAACAAGGCATCTTTTTCTTTTCCTTTTTTGAGAAGGGAGCATAATGAGCAAAGAAATAGGGCTTGAAGAAAAAGTTAAGAAGTCTAAGGTGATTAGAAAGAGTGAATGAACTTAGGAGCTCCTGGGAGTTATGGCAGGAGAACACAGAGAATCCATACTCAGGAACATTCATGGTGGGATAATAGACAGTTCACGCCCAAGCATGGGACTTTGCATTTCTGATCAGCTCTTGCAATATCATGCTTAAGATCTTCACTGTTTCTAACAAATAGGCGTCATCTTTCCAAATCACAGTGCTTAATTTATCACACCCAGGCATGAAAAATCATCCTTTTTCTTACTTTAAACATGGCTAATCACAACAATCTATAACAGCATTTTAGGATTTTAATGACGGAAAGGCATTCAATACATGATAGTTATAGGACTCATAATACTACAAGATTTAAAGTATAATTTTTCACAGGGTTAGACCACTAAGACAAATTGCCATGTTTTTAGTTAATTATTTTGAAATTCTTTTAGGGACCATCAGCATCCAGAAATTAATTAATAGTTTTCCTCTATATGATTGTCTGTCATCACTGGTTACTGCTACTGACTGCCAACTCCTTTGCACACTTGCTGTAGTGGCAATCAGCAAGAGCGATTAATGTGAACCACTTGTCCTAATAGCCAAATGCCAAATGCCATACCACACAGAAGTTTGTAATTATGCTTTAGAAATAAGATGGGATCAGCATCATTAGCTAAGAATTAACCCCAAATGTGGAGCCGCTTGAACTGGTGCTTGGAGAAAATACATCTCATCCTTGGGGATATCAAGATGTCCTTTGGGGTGCCACAGCTAAGAACCTTGAAATTCTTTTTCAGAAAGATCTAAACCTCTCTTTGGCAAGCTCAAAGGTTTTCACTGCCTTCTCTTCCTGGATCAGGCAAATTTACACACATTCCAGCTCCACTTGAGTGGAATTCAAGTTCCTGTTTAGGAATTTGCTGTTAACTATGGCCTCATGCTTCACAACTCTTTGTGACATGTGTTTATTTGAGGAGGTAAGTCAACAAAAGAGGGCCTTCTGGCCTTTCACACAGTATCCCTTCCTGGGGGAAACGGAAGGGGCTCTCCATCAATAGGCAGTGCTGGGAAGGAGTAAGGTGAGGAGTGTCACCTGCCCTGCACCAGGTGACACATCTGAGAGTTCAGATTTCAGTACCTTCCAACACGAACATGGGAGTAAGTGGAACATTACACAACCTACAAATCAAACTGAAGCTCATTGTTTCCCACACAAGAGGTAGAGAAAGCTTGTGTTTCCCCAGGTGCCTGTTCTGGCAAGTCCCTGGGACCTCCCGCTGGTCCTTGCTTTCTGTCCTTATGCTAGCTCCATGTGCTCTTCTTCATTCCCCTTGTCCTGACTTATTTACCTATTGTCACTGTTATAATCAGTGGAGATCATTCTAATTGAGTTTGATACACTTTCTAAACCACTTAAATCTTCTTTGAAAAAAGATAGGATGTCAAAATTATCTTGGGCCTAAGAGATGCCCTAAATATATTACTCAAAATTACTTACTTTTCTATATATAGTTTTAAAAGAATATTTTATTTATTATTTTTATTTTGTGTGTATGAGTGTATTGCCTACATGCATGTATGTAAGTGAACCTATGTCATGCAATGTTCATGGGGGTCAGAAGAGGGTGTCTGATTCCCCTGGAAGTGGAGTTATAGATGGTTGTTAGCTGCCATGTGGGTGCTGGGAACCAAACCTGAGTCATCTTCAAAAGCAGCCAGTGCTCTTAAGCACTAAGCCATCTCTCCAGCCCCATTCTATACATAGTTTTAATGAACTTGATAATCTGATTTTATAAAACACAGAACAGCAGAAAACCTCAGTTGACAGAATGTTGTCTTGTGTTGATGTAGTACAGCATGGTAAGGCTACCTAATAGCTGTTGATTCCAACTTACAATGAATAAACTAGTTAATAAGTTAGTGAGTGAAACTGAGAACTTAATAAGAAGGTAGAAACTATTTTAAAATATAAGGAAGAAGCCAGGCATGGTGGTGCACAACTTTAGCCCCAGCACTTGGGCAGCAGAGGCAGGTGGATCTCTGTGAGTTTGAGGCCAGCCTGATCTGCATAGTGAGTTCCAGGCTAGCTGTGGCTATAGGGAGACCCTGTCTCAAAAGACCAAAAAATAAATAAATAAGTAAAATAAAATATAAGGAAGAAAAGCACAGCCATTAAAACCCACTTCATATGAGATTGACTGCTTCCCTCCCTCCTTGTTTCTTTTTTCTCTCCTTACATATTCTCTTCTTTTATTTACTTTTTTCTTCTCTTATTTTTGTTTTGCTTGAGATAGTCTTGCTATATATCCCAAACTTGCCTAAAACTCTATGTGGTCCAAGTTGGCCTCAAATTCACAGAATTCCTGCCTTGCCCCCCCGCCCCAGAGTTTCAATTATAGGTGCATTCACCATGGCCAATTTCTCTGACTTCTCTGTGGATTCTGAAAGCCTTCGATGATTATGAAATAATAGTTACTATCAAAGGTATAAGGACAAACCTTTCAAAAATAAATCCAATGTATTCTTAGGAGCTATTGTTTAAGAAGACAGGCGCTCGCGCACGTGTGTGTGTGTGTGTGTGTGTGTGTGTGTGTGTGTGTGTGTGTTTTAGAAAACTGTTCACTGGGGTTAGAGAGATGACCCAATTACGCAAGCATAAGGATCTGAATTCAGATTCCAAATCCCATGCTTAAAAAAAAAATGAAAAAAAAAAATAGCTGCAAGCAGCAGCAGGTGCCTATAATCCCAGGCAAAGACAGAAGGATTCTTAGAGCTTGATGATCAGCCGGCATAGCCAAATTGATGAATCCCAGGTTCAGAAACCTTGTCTCCAAAAATAAATAATAAAGTGGAAAGGATTGGGGAAATGGCTAAGTAGCTGAAACACTTGCTGTGCAAGCATGAAAATCAGAGTTTGGATCCCCAGAACCCACATAAAAATGGGGTGGGCATGGTAGCTGCTTTGCAATACTGACAGAAAGAAGGAATCCTTGGAACAAGCTGGCTAGCCAGACTACTCAAAATGGCAAACTCAAGGTTCAGTGAATGACCTTGTCTCAACATATAAGTTGGAGAGTGATTGAAGAAGACACAATATCAGCCTCATGCCTACATACACACACACACACACACACACACACGCACACACACATGCACGAATGACCACACACATGTGACTATACATGTATATATGCATACACACAAAGAAAATAAATAAATAAGGTGGAAAGCAATTGAGGAAGGCACTCAACATTGACCTCTGGTCTTACACATGTGAATACACACAGGTACACATAACTGTGAACATGTACACACACATACACAAACTCTTTTCGTTTGAAAACAAAGTTTTATTGCACAAAACTTAAGAGAGGGGGAAAACCAGCTCTCTAGAAAACCTACTTCCTTGCACAGCCTTATTTCCTGGCATTTGCTTCATGCCCAGATGATGATGAACTAACAGTGGAAGTTCTCCCCATGTGGAAAGGACGCCTCAGGAGAGGCAATGTTAGTGGAGAATCTAGGCTCCTTAGGACTAGGTTCTCAGCAGTCATGATGCAGGGAGAAGTAATTCTAACCCACACTAGGACTGCCCTGTCATCCCTAACAGAGTGTTTGTTATAGGCAGAAGCTGGAGAACTAATAGCAAGCTTGAACATGTTTACTCCCTTTTACCACTAGTAAATGCTCATTCAGACCTCTACACCCAATGACTTGGAGCAACCTGATTTCTTCATTGCCCCTGTGTGCAGCAGAAATTGGTTTCTACAGCAGTGCAGAAAGACAGAAAGAAAAGTTCCTGGAGATCTGCTTAGAGACTTCTGGACAAAATATATTCCAGGAATGGAAGATGTTCTATAAATGTTACTGGGATTTGAGACTTGATTCCTGACATAATATCGATCATAGCCCTGGAGTCTGTCAACCACAGACCATCGATTCCCCAATGGCAACTCAGGCCCATTCATGTGCCACCTGAATTCAGTAAGCACCATGATGCAGGGGCAGCTATTTCAGGAGGAGGACCAGTTTACTGCGGGAGCCAACTTTCCCTGGTCAGTTAAATAGAGGGGATTACAGCCAGCAAACTCATTTACTATGAACAATCAAACATTGACTTGTTCCCTTTCTCTTTCTTTCTTTCCTTCTTTTGTTTTTGTTTTGTTCTGTTTGTTTACAGAATTATGCAAAACTTATTCCTGGAGCAACAGTGGGGGTTCTTCAGAAGGATTCTGGGAACATTCTACAGCTTATCATCTCAGCTTATGAAGTAAGATATTTTACTTTACAAGAAATTGGCCTCCTTTGGAGCAGTTCATTGGCATTCAAGCACTAAGATGTGAAGAGTGAGATGCACTTCCATTTGTTGGTAGAGGGAATGCTTATCCAGACAAAACCTCCCAGTGTTAATGCAACTAAAACAATTTTATTTACTTCACTTACCAATCTTCCCAAAAGGTGAAGCAGCAGATAGAAAAATCAAGACCTATTCTAAAACTGAGATTGTTTTATAATAACGATTCACAGCAGCATTGTCTCCAGCAAAATTTTAATTCAACTACAAAGACTCTCAGAATCATGATTAAGACTCCCTCCGCCTGGAAAAAAAAAAAAAAAAAAAAGCCAGCATAAATTGTCAGTGAGTAACAGAGTTATGTGGTTTAATGAGAGAAGATCAAAACACAAACAAAACAAAAGAGAAAAATATGAGAGCTGACTGCATAGCAAGACACTGAAAGGCAGCACTTAAGGTTCTCTAAGGAACGGGAACATTTCTATGGGTTCAGCAGATACTGTCTTTGTTTCTTTTCCTGTTGCTGTTATAAAATGCCCCGACAAAAGCAGCTGAAGAGAGAAAGGGTGATGTTGGCTCATAGTTCCAGGTCAAACTCCATCATAGTGGACACATCACAGTGGAGGAGCTTGAGGGAGTTGGTCACATCACTTTGATAATTACAAACAATACAGGAGTTGCTCTCTTTCTCTGACTGCACACATAAAAAGGGACTAGCTGCTTCAAGTTCCTAATGCCTCAACTTCCCCACTTGATGGACTGTAGCCAGAAACTCTAAGTCAAAATAAACCCTCTCTCCCTTAAGCTGCTTTTGTCAAAATATTTTATCACAGCAACAGGAAAGAAACTAAGGCAAAGAGACATACACTTTTTTGTCTTGACTTTGTGAATCGGTACTAAGGACAGAAGTCCCCCTTAATAAGACACATCCGTAGAGGTGTTGTATTTTCTTGGTCCCCATTGCCCAACTCAGCCAGAACTGGATGGCCAATTGCCACTGTTTATTTATTTTGGTCCTAAATACCATTCTCCTTGTTTGCTTTTCCTGAGCAAAAAAAAAAAAAAAAAAAAAAAAATTAACCCAGGAATTTGGAGAATTTGGATAGGCTTGAAAAAAAGTAAGTTTTTAGAAACTACTAAATCTCTAGAATTAACTTAAACAGCATTTACCATAAAAACAAATTATTAAAATTCTCCACATTTTTGGCATTTGAAAATTGAAAATTAATGGCCCATATATAATAAGATATGCCAATATTGAGTATATATTGAGCCAGTATTCCTTTAATTAAATGACATACCAGACTCACCTGGGGAGCTTTAAAAAAAAAAAAGACATTTCATATTCCTGTCACAGTCATCTCAGAGACATCAGAGAAAGGGGAAGATACATGTTTTGAAAAGAAAGATATCTCCTGTGTGATTCTGATATCACCCTACCAGTTTTGAAACTTGTGTAAAGAGGGGGAAAGAAGCCCATTCCTTCCCCAAAACTTCATTTCTTCAGAACATGGACCACAGTTGTACGTACTAAGATTATAACATGTTGGGGGATTTTCCTTGCTAGTAATCTTCAGAAATTTCAGTTTTCTTAGCGCTCATAAAAAATTAATTAACACATTAGCTCATTCTTGAAATTCTTCCAGACAGGAAAGCTTGTCAACAAAACATGATAAAAAAAACTTCCTCCTCTCATGCACCAATTAAAATTTTAATATGTAGAATCAAATAAAATCGCAGAGCAATCCTTCATTGTATTATAATGTACCCCATTTTCTTTAATTTGGTATTCTCGAAAGTATTAGCTATTAACCACTTTAAAGAAATTAAGCAAATTAGAAAACAGTGGATTGTCAAAAATGTTTCTCTCTCAGTCTGAACAGCCTCATCCACACCCTGCCTGCTTTGCCCCAGGCTGCATCACTTCAGGGTCTCAAATCACTCATATAACTTAAAGATCACTAAGATCAAGGCATTGTCCATTTGAATTGAATTTGTGTCCTTATTTACTGTTTCAAAAATACCAAGAGCATTGATTATTCTTCTATGTTATTCTGGATTTCTTGTTTGAAATGTTAGAATTCATGGGATGAAATATGCAATAGATCCTGACACTAGTCTAAATTATTGTTTTGTTTTGTTTTTTTTTAAAAAAATATTACTTTTAAATGCATTCTAAAAGGACTTTCAAACACAAGAAACAACAGACTGAATTTTTTTTTTCAGTCTATAAAAAGAGAGAGAAAGATGGAGCTGGAGAGATGGCTCAGCAGTTAAGGTCACTTGGTGCTCTTGCAGAGGACCTCAGTTCAATTCCCAGCACCCACATGGTGGCTAACAGCTGTCTATAACTCCAGTTCCAGGGGTTCTGACGCCCTCTTCTGACCTCCGTGGGCATTGCATAACACAGATGCATTTACATGCAGGCAGGCAATACACTCACACACATAAAATAATAAATATTTTTTAAAGGAGAGAGAGAGAAAGAAAATATATTGAGAGCAAACAATAGGCTTCATTGTCTTTTTGTAGGACAAAAGCAATTTGTGGCTACATCATTCCCTAACCATGTAATAAAAGCTACTGAAACATCAGTGATCCCAAGGGTCAGATCTTCTACTGGAATTTAAGTTCTAGGAAGGAACTGATTTTTTTTTTCTTTGCCCAGATCATAAGAGATGCTCAAAATATAAATGAGTGAAATGATGAGAAATATCAGTTAGCATTTATATCATTCCTTGGGAAACTGACATTAGTAATAGTCCTCATCAGATCTTCACGGCCATGCCATTTATACCAATGCTGAAATTTAGGTCAGATTATGTCCCTCACTGGTCCTCATTATTGCTGTCCCCAGCACGCATCCCTCACTTCTTTAGCTCTTGACTCAACACTGCCCCTATCTCCAACACTACTCCCTTAACTCTTGATAATTTTGCTGTAAACAGACTTTGGAAGGCTAGATGATAGATTATTCAATAAAGTACTTACCTTGCAGGCATGAGGACTTGAGTTGGATACCCCAGAACCCACATAAAAAACTGGGCACAGTGGCAGGCACTTGTAATACCACTGCTGGCAGCAGGACAGGTAGATCCCTAGAGCTTGCTAAGCAGTCAGCCTGTCCTCCTTGGTGAGTGTCAGGACAGTGAGAGACCTGATCTCAAAAAACATGTAGACGGCATCTGAGGAAAGACACCTGAGGTTATCTCTGGCCTCCATGTACATGCATAAGTATGCACACTCAATACACATGCAAAAATCAGACTTTGACCAAAGTAGGGCAATCTTACTATGCAGTTGGCAAAATTATACTTCAGGAAAATTTGAAGCCAAATATGCTTTTTAAAATACCCAAAATGAGGGCTGGAGGTATAGCTCAATGGTAGAGTGCTTGCCTAGCATATTCAACACTGAGTACCACAAATAGACAGAGACATACAATGCACACCAACAATGAACTAGGTATAAACTCAAAAACTTTTAAATGAATTGAAGTTTAACATTTATAATATTTTATTTTTAATATCTTATTTATTTTTTGTTTTATGTACATGAGTGTATTGCTTGCACGTAGGTAGGTGCACTCCTACATTGTGTCGTACAATGCCCACAGAAGTCAAAGAGGGCGTCAGATTCCCCTGGAATTAGAATTACAGACAGTTGTTAGCTGTCATGTGATTGCTAGGAATCAAACCCAGGTCCTCATACTTGCTGAGCCATCTCTCCAAACCCAATTCATAATATTCTAAACGCTTTCATTAGATTTCAAAATTATTCAGTTTTACCCCCCAAATATACAGACTTATGTTTAAGTGAGTGAGGAATAGAAAAAGATGAAAAGCTTAGAACAGAAATGTAGTCTTATCCAAGATCTGACTGCACATGCAATGCACAATATATTCCAAAAATGACTTTAAGGCACAGTTCCTCCCCAGATTTTAGCACTAATATTTGGAGGGCTGGGGATGTAAGTTAGTGGTAGAAAACTTGGGCGGCATGTGCTAGGCCCTGGGTTTGATCTCCAGCATAGTAAGAAAACAAATCTTGATCCATCTTTTAATTAGTGAGGTCGTACAGCCGTGTACCAGGTGGCACTCTTGACAATTCTCTTGACTTCCAGTCTTTACTGCATTTTGGGTAGTTTAACTACTAAGTTTAGTTTAGTTTAGTTCAGTTGTTTAGTTTAGTTTAGTTGTTTATTTTAGTTTAGTTTGTTGCCATTGTAAATATCTTTAAAATGTTTGAACTATGGTTCAGCATTGAGAAGAAACAGTGGCATTTACAAATAAAGGATGCCGTTGTTATATTTCGATACCAATATATAAGCAAAAGAATTGTCTTTTTGATGTTAAAGCTAAGCAACTCAGGTCAGAAAAATTTGCCAAGCTTTTCAGAATGGATGAAACAACTTTCAGAGCATAATAGACTCATGTCTGTCACATGCTTCAGAGATTTTGTCATATCTTAATTGTCATTAAGATACTATCTCAACATTGACAAGATCTGAGATTCAATAAAACCAGAATAAGTATGTATAGTATATATAAATATATAGTTAGATTGTTTATGTTCTTGCTTGATAAATGAGGTGGTAAATTTTTTTAGAACCAGTTTAGTTTTATTCATTCACAGTGTTTATCTTTGTGTGTGTGTGTGTGTGTGTGTGTGTGCACATTCCTGTGGGTGGGTACAGGCACATACCAGGTGGACGTAAGAGAACAAGGTCAGGTGTCCTTCTCTTGTACCTTGAGACAAGGTCTCTTGTTCACTGCTACATATGTCAGTACACCAGGCTAGCTGCTCTACAAGCTTCCAGGGATTCTCTTACCTCTGCTTCCTGTCTTTCCATAGAACTGAGTCTAGATTTGTGCTACCAAGTCTGTCTTTATGTAGGTTCTGGGGATCAGAACCCAGGCCCTCACACTTAGGCAGCAAGTGCTTTACCCACTGAGCCATCTCTCCAACCCCAATTCAAGAGCAGCCAGTACTCATACCTGCTGAGCCATCTCTCGTTTGTAGTTTAATGAACATGATTTACAGTTTGTTCTTCTGGTTGGATTGTTTTGGTTGTGACTTCACTTAACCCTTCTTGTCTGAACTAAAGGAACTTCGGTCTGAGGTGGAACTGGAAGTATTAGGAGACACAGAAGGACTCAACCTGTCTTTCACAGCTGTCTGTAACAGCGGTGTCCTTTTTCCACACCAAAAGAAATGCTCCCACATGAAGGTGGGGGACACGGTAAGTAAACACACAACAAACCTTCAGAAATAGCATTCAGCGGGTCTAAAGCTAGCTCAGCTCCATGACGCTGGACTTCTTCCCAGAATTTCTGGATCTCTTAAACAAATGCTTTTGGCAAAGCTGGTCTACACCAACCTCATTTCAACTCCTGAAGCTTGGTGGGTGGAAGAAGCAGGTAATCACTATTTTCTTTTCCAGGCATCCTTCAGTGTGACTGTGGGCATATCAAACTGCGAGAGAAGAAGTAGAAACCTTCTTGTGAAACCTGTGGGGCTGGGGGACACCCTGGAAATACTCGTCAATGCGGAATGCGACTGCAACTGTCAGAAGGAAGCAGAAGTGAACAGCTCCAAGTGCCATGATGGGAACGGCTCCTTCCAGTGCGGAGTGTGTGCCTGCAACTCTGGCCACGTGGGTCCTCACTGTGAGTGTGGTGAGGACATGCCAAGCACAGATTCCTGCAAGGAGGCCCCGGGTCACCCCTCCTGTAGCGGAAGGGGTGACTGCTACTGTGGGCAATGCATCTGCCACTTGTCTCCCTATGGAAGCATTTACGGGCCTTACTGCCAGTGTGACAACTTCTCCTGCCTGCGACACAAAGGCCTGCTCTGTGGAGGTAAGCTATGGCTAAGTCCCTCTTACACTGCAGTTATTCAGGGATCAGGATGGGACTTCACATCTCCTGTTCCTTTCTTAAGTTCCTGTGCTTACTAGTTGCTCAATAAATATTTGCTAGTTGCCTCGAGGATGGACCATTAGATGGGATAATTGAATTATCACTTGGAATTTTTTGTTGTTTCTAACATTGATTTGAGGTTTGATCTCTGCCTATTGAACTTATATCTATGTTATATTTAAATATTACCATTTCTTAAGTTCAAGTAGGTAAAAGTTGGATATATTTCCTCTTTAGTTATCACCCATACTCCACAAAACTGCCTGTAATCTAAATTCCATTGGCTGCCAGACTTTTCTGGTCTAAATTTCTGGATCTGACCCAATTTTTAATCTTTATTACTTTGGAAAAATAAAGAGTTAATAAAAGACTCCTAAAGGAACATTGCTGAGGGCTAGAGGCACAGAAATGCTAAGTGGATTGGAGACGCCACTCATTCACAAGATTTTTCTGTCTCTCTCTATTTCTGTCTGTTTTTGTCTCTGTCTCTCTGTCTCTCCCTTTTGAGATGGAGTCTCAGACTCACCATCCTCCTGCCTCAGCCTCCCAAGTTCTGGATCTACAGGTATTTGCCACGAGTACTTACTAAACATACTGAATTAGCCACTGAGTCAAGTAAAGCTAGGAAATGATGCCTGTGAGAAAGCCTATTTAAAAAATAAAAATAGGAAATAGTCTGGCATTACTTGAGAAATTTGAGAAAAATGTAAATATTTACATTTTAATAACCTTTGTAAAAATACTGTACTTTGAGAATATACTTCAGGGACTGGAGAGATGGTTCAGTGGTCAAGAATTCACAATGGGGGCAGGGGGCTGGAGAGATGGCTCAGCCAGTAAGAGTACTGTCTGGTCTTGTAGAGGACCCAGGTTTGATTACTGGCACCCATATTGTGACTAGCAACCATTTGTATCTCCAGTTCCAGGGGATTCTATGCCTTCTTCTGACCTCTTTGGGCATTGTATGACACAGGTGCACTTACATACCTGCAGGCAATACACTCATACACATAAAATAAAAATAATAAATAAAACTTTAAAAAAAAAGAATACTACCTGGGTGTGGTGGTGCATGCCTTTTATCCCAGTACTCCAGAGGCAGAGGCAGGCAGATCTCTGTGAGTTTGAGGCCAGCCTGGTCTCCATAGTGAATCCAGGCCAGCTAGGGCTACAGGGAGATCCTGTCTCAAAAAGACCAAAAAAAAAAAAAAAAAAAAGAGTACACACTGCTCTTCTGCTCTTGCAGAGGCTTTCAGCACCCATGAGGTTCAATGGTTCACAACCACCAATAGATCCAATGCCCTCTTCTGGCCTCTGCAGGCACCACACATACACACATGCCACTCACACAGACATATAGACATAAATAAAAATAATAAAAATAAATATTAAAAAAGAACGTACTACATAAAACATGGCTCATAAAAAATTCTGATATGACACATATATTAAATTATAATCTATTCTAACAAGAATTACAAATACGTTAACATATTTTTTAAATGATATAATTTTATTCTACAATTGAAGCATTAGCTGGCTGCTGACTTTAAACTCAACCTTCCTGATTTTCCCATTATGTAAGCAAACAACTCCTCAAAGACAATGAAATTATCTTTACAGAAGACTAAGCAAGGTATATTTTCAAACCACAGTGTTAGGAGCATATAAAAGAGACTAATTTTCCCAGCACTTAGGAGGTAGAAGCAAGATGATCAGAAATTCAATGTTATCCTGGGTTACACAGCAAGTTCAAGGCCAGCCTAGGATAAATGTGACCCTGTTGCAAGAAAGAAAGGAAGTAAAGAAAGAGAGGGAGAGGGAGAGAGAGAGGAAGAGGGAGATGGAGAGAGGGAAAGTGAGAAAGGGAATGGGAAGGGGGATTAAGTTTTAGGGAAAAGAAGGAAAAAGAAAGACAGAATCTATGACACCTTGATCTTGGACCTGTAGCTTCCAGGACTAAGAGAAATTATCCTCTGTTGTTTAAGCCCAATCTGTGGTTGTTAGGGGGGAGGGAGAAAGGACGGGGGGAGGGAGGGAGGAAGGGAGGAAGGAAGGAAGGAAGGAAGGAGGAAGGAAGGAAGGAGGAAGGAAGGAAGGAAGGAGGAAGGAAGGAAGGAAGGAAGGAAGGAAGGAAGGAAGGAAGGAAGGAAGGAAGGGCCTGAAAAAATTCTAAGCTATTTGAAAACCATGTGATGAGCATCTGCATCAAGGAGACCCATTTCCCTCCCCTTTTCATTCAAAGATTCACTTCTGGATTCCACAAGTAACTGTCCAAACCCACATCTGGCCTCTTTTTACTTGATTTGGGCAGGACCCAATCTGGAGGGGACAAAAAGCCATGCAAAGTCAAAGCCTCGGGAAGGATGCATTTGGCAGAATCATATCCTGCCTTTCGAACACCAGCTTTTAAATAAAGTATCTGTTCAAGACATTTGAAAATACTTTTAAAAAGTTCTAAGTGTAATCTATCTATTTTTAACTCCTAAATCCTGGGAGAAATGGACCTAAAGCAACATGAATTTCTGTGTGTTTCACAACACAGGGTCTCCCAATTTTTTTCTTCCTTTTTAATATGTGCGTAGGGGTCTGAAATGCACTAAAAAGGAGTTGACTTGAACTGTATTTAGGAATGCCTCTCACTGAATCTCATTGATACAGCAATTGCAAAGATATTCTATTTAGAAAACATATGATTTTTTTAAGCTGGACTCAGAAAACACCATTGCAAAGTTCTTTCAAATTTTAGCAAATATTATGATCCTCAGTGATCACTGTTTCTCAAAAACTATTTGGTTTTTGGTAACATCACAAAAGATGTTACTCTATAATTAGTAACTTTCTCTTTTAACTGGTACAATGAAAGGAAATACATATCTATTCAAATTCAGTCACATTGGTGGAGTAGTTACTACGTGCCCATCTATGTACAGCACAGGGATGGGAGTTAGGTCTCACTGTGAACAGACACTCCCCTGCTGGCCATGATTTACTAAAGTGATTTCATGGATCTCTCTTCCTTTTCCAGTAATATACTTGACAATGTTCTGGTTTTCTGAAGAGCTTTCATCATGGTGCTGTTTTTCACAGAGCTTCTTTCATCCCTCTGGAAGCGCTCAAAGACAGAAGGCTCCATTGATTTTGCTTACTGTTGCCCAAATTCCATTAGTCTCTTATGCTTTGATTCTAAGAGTCTGGAAACAGTAATGGGTAAATAGTATTAGAGGAAAAACTTCTTATGATTATCCATTTACAGTTATTTGTCAATGGCATTCCAGAAAGATCTATCCTTCTGAAAAAAGCCTAGTAATGTTTTCTTCCTTTATAAAAAAATACTTTATAAAAAGTATTTTATGTGGATGCATGTATTGTCTGCATGTATGTAAATGTTCCCATGTCATGCAATGCCCAAAGAGGACAGAAGAGGGAATTGAATCCATTGGAACTGGAGCTATAAATAATTGCTAGTTGCCATGTGAGTGCTAGGAGCCAAACCACGGTCCTCTACAAGAGCAGCAGGGCTCTTAACTGCTGAGTCATCTCTCCAGCACTTAGCAATGTTTTCTTGTTCTTGGGTTATCATCTTGCCTCTACATGAGGCCAGTATGAAGGTGTGGTGGTGGCATGAACAGATACTTCAGATAAGTTGTTGTTTGGGGATATCAATTATCAACTTCAAAGACCCAGATAATGGTTCTGGAAGATCCATGGAGTAGAGGATTTCTAAATTTCAAAAGATCATTTTGTACTTTTGTGGTGATGGTCCTTTTTTAATGTTACTGAAAGGATTTTCTAAATTTCTGTCAACCAATTCTTACATGGAAATGCATATTCATTTAATAACATTTATGCATCAAGTTCAGTTTTTCCAAAATAGAGGTTTCTCTCTTTCATGAATATTTTCCTTTTTGCTGATGAGAAAACAAAAAGATATCATAGTTTTGAAAATCACTTACACATAAAATTAAATTTATAGCTTTTGCTCAAATCACTTATTCTTAACTTTGAATTCATTGATTTTATTATGATTATGAGATGTGGCTGGAATTTGTCTTAATGTCATGGATCCAAGTAAAGTTAAATTCATCTTTCATTAGAAAAATATGCCATTGGGGGTGGGGCTGGAGAGATGGCTCAGCAGTTAAGAGCATTGGCTGCTCTTGTAGAAGACCTGGGTTTGGTTCCCAGAACGTACATGGCAACCAACAACTATCTGTAACTCCAGTTCCAGGAGATCTGATGCCCTCTTCTAGCCTCTGTGGACATTGCGTAACATGGGTGTACGTCTATACACACAGACAAAACACTCATATGCAAAATAAAAGGAAATTTTTCAAAAATCAGCCAGTGTAACCTCTTTAAAAATATGTCATTTTAATATACATATACCATATAGAGTGATAGAGATTATATGTATATATCTCCACACATACACATACATATACAATACACACACACATACAATACACACACACACACACACACACACAAACACACCAGGAGCCTTCAGAGTCCAACTTCAAAGTCTTTGTAGTTTTGCTCTGTGGTTTTTGGCCTGCCAGAACATTCTATGAAGGACTCTTCTACTCTCAGTCTCTTAGGCCCAGTCGTAAATACAGAAAAATAATAACTACTAGAACAGAGATTTAAGAGAAAATCCTGAATCTTTCACTGTATAGTGAACTTGCCAGCATCTTCTTCAGACATTTTAATACTCATGAATAACTCTGCTTACAAATTCTTCCTCCAGCATTCTTAGGAATACTACTACTGACTAGCAGTTGTGGAATGCTCAGCTTCAGGCCAGGCAGTGTTGCAAACACTGTTAGATGTTAACTCACATAATCTGAAATTTTACTGGAAGAGCAAAACTTCTGGGACAAATTTTTTTTTTTTTTTTTTTTTTTTTTTTTTTTTTTCTGAAGAAAGGTATCTAAGAGTTTGTAAATAAATGTTTGGAACATCAAACACTTATTTTAATATGCATTCCAGGCACTTAAAAATACTATGGAAAGATACACAGCGATTATCTGACATACACTGTTCATTATTTTTAGAATGCTTCTTTCATATACCATTCTGTGACCTGGCCCAGAAAAAGCTCTTCAAGATTAGATGGATGCTTATCCATCAGCGTCCAGACAGCTCCTCCTTTCAGTTGAGTCTGCTGGGCTTCTCCAGCATTACTGCGGGTCCACCTCCTTCACTCATCCTCTCTGGTGAGGAGCCTTTCCTCTGCTCCTGTTTTGCAGGCCAGCGCTCTCCAGTGCTTTTCTCCCTCTGCTGCTTTCCCTAGATAAAGTCATTCACAACACCTGAGTTGAATCCTTTCCTTGATGGATCCCAAGTGCCAACCTTCTGCGATCTACTCAGCTGCTAACTAGGGTGTCCTGCAGCCCTGCATACTCAACAGAGCCAAAGAGACTCATTGTCTACCACACTCAAAGCGGCTTTTCCTCCTGCTTCATAACTATTAGTCATCCAACAATTGAGTCCTACTGTGTGCCAAGTGTTGGTGTATGTAAGTGACCATGAGAGAGCTTGCACTGCAGGTCTGAGGGAAGTCATGTCAGCATGGCTGCCCAGCCTGGCCACCCCGGGGAAGATTCTGTATCTCTTCCCTCACACTGTACAAGCACCCATCACATACTTCCCTGAGCATTCCATCTCAAATTGCCTATTCTTTCCTCTCTGTTCCCACGGATGCTGTAGGAGGTCAGGTCTCTACCCCTGCAAGAACTTGCAGCTAGTTTTCCTGTTTCTAGTTTGACCTCTCTATGATGTCAGGGTATATCTATATACATGCCTATCTGCCCAGGTTTCTCCCTTATGTAAAATTTCATAACCTTCAGGGAAAATGTTCTTACTTTAGCAATGAGACTTCTCATGGTCTGACTTAGGACATTTTGTCAAACTTCCCATCTTCTATCCTGTCAGAGCTACATGGATATTAAGAATACTTAACACTGTGGTTATTAAGTATGCTTTCATCACCAACTCCTATTATTTTCTCTCCCTGAAATGTTTGCAACTCTCTTCTAACTATCTTTATCTTTCAAATTCAAGCCAAGCAAACCTCTTGAAACTTTCCCAAATCTCTGTTTAATTTGGAAACTCTTCTACCTGAACCATAGATTCAGCACACTATATTATATTTAGTAGTAGCAGCATTTATTTGCCTGCTTCCTGCACTAGATGATAAATTCAGTAACCATGTCTTATTGAATTCTGCATCTTTGTTGCCAGATGAGCTTAGAAGCGTAGCTGTAATTGGACTCTCTTTCCATTCCCCATTACATTCTAAAGAAAAAAAAAAAAAACTAAAGCCAAAAATTAGTGAATGAAACTAGTTTTATTACAATTTGACCAAACTGGGGCAAAGAAAAACCTCTTAATTTCTTCCCAGCTTTCTTTGGCAGTCTTATAACTTATAAGATGGAACCAACCCAGGATATAGTCAGATTTAACTGTGAGATAGATTATCTGTGAGTCAGCCTTTTCCAGAGGGAGCTGGGTAGCTGGGCCTACCACTGCTGTTACAGGGCTGCCTCTACTCTCAGAACAGAAGGTCTGTCATACTGCACATCCTTGTGACTAACAGAATCTCTGGCACAGAGTATATGCTCAGTTAGAATTTGTTGAATAATGAGTTTGTCAGCACTTACTGTGTGCCAATGGGAATAGCTAACTAGGGAGTGTAAAACTAAGACATGTAGACCTTATTTCATCTGCCCACAACCACTGGAAGATTTTTGTCCCTGTGCTTTATAAATGAGGATTTTGTGATTATTCAGCTTGAGTGATATAGAGGGGTGGGTATTAATCCAAGTGTGACCTGTATCTCCATCTGATGATATATTAATTAAAAATTTAAAATCCAAAGAGCAGTTCAATGTAGAGATATATAGGCACTGAACACTCCTATGGGCTGTCTGCATGGTCTCATTTTGTCTGGTTGTTTATTCTGTTTGCTGTAATGTCAGGTAATCCAGTGTGTATTCAGCTAGGCAACAGATTAATAAGTACACACCACTGGCAAAACACACCTGATAAAATCAATCTTTCTCACTCTCTCTCCCTCCCTCCCTCCCACCCATCAGTCTTTTAATACTGTTTAAATGTAAGGAGAAAAAATATCCCTCAATCTGGAAGTGGTTTGGGCCAGAAGCAGCATGAAGGACATGTTTTTTGTTTTACAGATAATGGTGACTGTGACTGTGGCGAATGTGTGTGCAGGGATGGATGGACCGGTGAGTACTGCAACTGCACAACCAGCACAGACTCGTGTGCATCTGAGGATGGAGTGCTATGCAACGGGCGTGGAGACTGTGTCTGTGGCAAGTGTATCTGCAGGAACCCTGGAGCCTCAGGACCCACCTGTGAACGCTGTCCTACCTGTGGTGACCCCTGTAACTCTAAACGGTAATGTCTTCTTTCTTTAGTCTTTGCTATGGATAGGTTTTCATGTGATCAAATTTTGAATGACACTTAGTAAACTCAAACCCTCAGCCATCTCTGCTGGGTATGGTCTCAGGGCATCTATCAAAACCCATAGCCCACAGGATCCTTGTGATCTTCAGCCTGGAACATTAGCCCCTCACCTGCCTCTTTCTCAGTCTCTATTATCCCAAATCATAAAGTCACATTTCTGCTAGAGACAGCATGGGGAAGTGGAGCTGATGTCCCACACTGATAACATCAGGTGGCCTCTGGGTTACAATACCAGCCACACAGTCGGAATGCCCTAGAGGTATTCTGCTGACACCCAGAGGCAGGCAGTACCTTTTCAGGGGAAACAGACAAGCTTCTTTCTTATCTAGCTATTCTAGGCTGACCTTGTGGGATTCATTCCTATCCTTAGACTGGAGGAGGTAGAGACAATCTTAGCTTTCTCTTCCCTCATTCTTCATAACCCAGGTTTTTTGGTCCCTGCTGTAGATTATATTTTTTATACTATAAGGACAGTAACAATAACAACAACAACAACAACAAAAAAAAAAAACCCATCCATATTTTCTATTGAAAGCAATTTCTGTTTAACAGCTTAACTTTACAGAAGGGGACAAAATTTGCGGGTCTTGTGAAGCACGTCTCCAAATGACTGTAGTGAGGTTGTAGTGTGTAAGGTGGTGATACAGCAAATACAATCCAAAGGTCTGGCTTTCATTGACCCTGATTCCTGAAATGGTGACATTGGTATTTTTTTTTTTAATTTTTAAAAAATGATTTATTTAATAACAACATACTTAGAAGAAGCATATCATTACAACACAATTGACATATTCAATAACGTTTTCCTGAGGTAGGATGCATCTCTTTCAAATTTGGCTGTAAATTTTTAGGTTTACAGTTGAATTATTACAGTTATACAATATTGTACTCAGTATAAACCCTATAAGACATAAAAATGAATGAGGTTTTAATCTTTAAAAAAGATCTCCATTTCAATATTAAAATACACAGTTTCTTACAGAAAAATTCATTTTCAGTGCAATTGACATTAAGATGTTTGCACATGCATCTCTAATCTCCATGTATCTTATTATTACTATGCACGGTCACTTATAATCAGATCCTTGGCATCTGAGTATGGATATAAAGTCATTAGGTAGATTTCAACAGTAATGTTTTTCACCTCTACTAATTAACATGAAGCAAATTTGTATGTTTCTTCCTCAA